GTCGTGGTCGCCCACCCGATGGCACGGGTACATCCCATGCCGGGTAGGCTCACCCACCGGCACAGGAGGTGCGGGGAGCCGTTGGCTGCTGCCCCACCGCCCCCGGGGGGGCCCTGCGGAGGCGGAGAGGAGCCGTTTCCTACCGCAAACCCCACCGGGAGCTCGGGCGCTGCCAGCGGAGCTACCGATGCTCGCCGGAGCCGGAACCGCCGGGGGGAGATTTGGCCCAGGCAGCGATCCCCGGGTGCGGATGCGCCAGCGGCAGGGAAAGGGATCAAAGAGCGAAGGTGCCAGCACCTGCTCGTGCTGCCGGCGGTGACACCCCCGCGCTGGCAGGGGTCCAGGCCGCTGGCACCCGGCCACGCCGCCCTCCGCGGGGCTGGCAGCGAGTGCGGGGATGCGGGCGGGATGCTGGTGGCGATGCCCCTTCCAGCTGGGGACCGTCACCTTGCCAGCGCCCAGCGGCTCCAAGCGCCTGCCAGGAACACCCGGCAGGGTGGGAAGGGGTGGCCGGCGGGCGACGTGGCGCATCCCTCCCGCCCCGATGGTTTTTTTATTTTCCGGAATGGAAGCCCGGCCCTTCTGACGCCTGATGTTTTCTCCAGGCGGAGCTGCTGCCAGCAGTGAGGTCTCCGCAGGGCCCCGGGGCCGGGGTGACAGTGACATCACTCGGCCACCTCGCCACGTGTGCTGGGAGCGGCGCCGGGTGGAAAGGTCCCAGCTGGGTGGAGGGAAACTGAGGCACGGTGCTAGCACAGCAAGGAAGGGTGTCCACAACTTCCCTGTCCCCACCTTTCCAACCTGCCGCTCCGGCTGGGGACAGTTGGATGCTGTGCCCAACCCTGCAGGGGCCACCCAGCCCAAAGTCTCACCGGGCAAAGTCTTACGGCAAAGTAACTCCTGCTGTACCAGTGCCAGCAGCTCCCCGTCCCCTTGCTGTCCCCATCCCCCTTGTCGCCCATGACGCCGGGCTGGTGCTGGCACAGTGGGGAGGGCAGAGGGTGCCACCCGGCCCGTCAGGAGGAAGGTTACCGGCAGGGAGACGGGAAGGGCATCGCCCGGGCACCCTGTCTGGCACGGCTCCTCCTGCCTGCTGCTGGCCTGCCTGCGCCTGCCTGCACAGCTGCCTGCTCAACCTGCCGCCGCCAGCTCTCTCCCTGCACCTGCACCCGCTGCCTGCTGGCACCCGCTGCCTGCACAACCCCCCCCTTCCTCCCCGCTCCCCCTGCATTTGTGTTAAAAAAAAACAGTGAGAACTTCAGAAAAAAAAACATTCACATTTATCATTTAACATACTGATATGAGGCTAGCAGATAAATAATCACCTGGGGGGGGGGGGGGGGGAAGAGAAAGGAGGGGTGACGAGGCAGGGGGTGGCCCCCAGGGCAGCCCGTGTGTGTGTGTGTCCCCCATCCCAAGCCCTGCCCTCGGACGCGCGCGTGGCCCTGCTGCCGGCACCGCTCGGCACTTGCTATTCTTGGCAGCGGCGGTTGGAAAATGGGAGGCAGCGGAGGAATTTTGTTTGCTCCGGGCTGGGCCCAGGCCAGACATCTGGGCTGCAGCTGAGCGGGGCGCGGGACCAGCCCCCCCCCCGGCCCCCGGCACGGCCCCCAGTGCCCCCTGGTGTGGCCTCAGCACCTCCCGACACAGCCCCCCGGCACCCCATGCCCGGGCAGGCCAGCAGCTCCCTGCCCCACGGACAAGGTGGCTCTGTCACTGGTGTGCTGAGCCACTGGTGTGATGAGTGTGGCATCCTCAGCTCTGCCCTGGGGGCGGTGGGCATCACGGCGGGTGTCACCCATGGGTCATGTGGGGTGGCAGCACAGCCCTCTGTGCGTGTGTGAGGGCGCCTGGGTGTTTTGCCGCGTGTTTTTGCACACGTCTGTTTGCACGTGCGTGTGTGTGTGTGCTTACACACACGTGTTTTGCACACGCGTGTGTTTCCACGTGTGTGTGTGTGTTTCCACGTGTGTCACCCTGCGTGTTTGCACACG